GTTGGTAGGCCTGTAGTGACTGGTAAAGAATTCAGGTGATCTTTAGGAAAGCTCTGGAGCTATCAGAGTCTGAAGTTTCTCACAGCTAAAATGATCAGATGAGTTCACCCTAGATCAGTAGTTCTTTTTCTTAAATTTTAATTTAGAATAAAGCCAATCAAAACAAGATAGTATAAGTGACACAGGATTTCAAAATAAGGTAATAGGAAATCAATAATAGGAAATCAACAATGGTTACCGTAACGCCTCTTGTCATCACAATAGCTGCCCATACCTTCAGACATAGTGAAATCAAACAAAACAGAAACAGAGGAGAACCAATAAAAATAAAACAGTGAATGCAGTGCAAGACTTCAAAACAAGATAACAGTGAATCCACAATGGCTACCATAATATATCTTATTTTCAAAATAGTTGCCCATGTCATCAGATACAACAAAATCAAACTAGATAAAACAGAATAAAACTCAACCAAACAAAACAATGAGAATGACACAGGATTTCAAAACACGATAATATGTAATTAACAATGGCTACCACCTTCAGAAGGAGACCCCACAGGTGCTACACTGCATACTGTTATCCTCTGGATAGATGCTCAGACTACTGGCTTTAGGCCTGCAGAGTCAGTGAAACACTAAATAATACCAGCATTAAGTTGCATTTTACTTCATTAGCTTTCATCACAGCCTGTGTTTCTACAGATCAGCAGGTCACTTACTGTGGGGAGGTGCATTGGTTCTTCTTGTCTTCCTGCCCCTGTGCAGGAAGGGGCTGGCTTCTGGCTGTCCTCGAGTCAGCCCATGGTGGTACTGACTCCTGGGAGGTCTTAGCTTCTTGTTGACTTCTTGCTCTCCTCCACTGCAGTCTGTAAATGGCGTAGTTCTCAGTGGGATTATCCGAATCACGTCCTAAGTATACCAGAGTGTCCTCTTCGAGCCTTTTTGAAAATTCTGATTATATAACTTTGGGTTAAATACTACTGTCCCACAGGATAATAACATTTCCCAAAATTATGTGCTACTATGTTGTGTAATTTAGAGTCTTCAAGAAGTTCTTTTCTTAGTATGGGCATGGAACTCAGGGCCTTTGCATGAAGTGATACCCAGTACATTTCATCTTTTGTTTTGAGACAGGGTCTCCTCCAGTGACTAAACTGCTTAGGCTGGGCTTGAACTTTCAGGCCTCTTGCCTCAACCTCCAAAAGGACTGGAATTGTAGGTTTAAGCCACTATGCCCTGCTACTTTTCAGGTTTTTCATGCTTTTAAAATATTTACTGTGCCCAAGATGTGAAGTCTACTAAAAGAACAAAGGTGGGACATACTGAGATGGTTTGTGTGGTATTTATATCTAGTAGTTCTGTTGGCTTCCATTCAGGCCCCAGTCAGTGAGGCTTACTTTATTCCTGTGCAGGCACAGGATTCTCTCATTAAAAACTATGAACTATGGAGTAAATTCTCCTGTTCAAAGAGACCAGGGGTTGATAGCAGAGCAGGTGTTTTGTATTGTTTTGTTTTTGTTAAGATGAGAACCTTCGATCTGGAACAGCTTTTGAAGATGTGTCTTGCTGAAACAGAAGCTCTGGGGTTCTCCAAGGAATCCGATTATTAAGCAAAACCTCAAGATATTTAGGAGCTTAAGGAACTTGGTATTTGAGAAACACTGCCAAGGTGAATGATATGAAATAAAGCACAGGTCTGAAAACAAGCGATCCAATGAGGTCAGGTAATCCAGGCCCAACTAAGTTGCAATTCCAGCTAAGTATGGATTTCTTCAAGTTAAAGGAGGAAATACCAGAAATTCTGTCGTTTTATTGCCTGACTCCTTTGGGAGAGGTTACAGTGCTGGAAGGCACACTTTCCTGTGAAAATCCTCACAGTTTATTTTCCTGGGGTGCAGGAAGAAGGCAGATCGAACTTCTTTGTAGTTTCATAATTTTGGAAACCTTGTTTGTCATTTAGCAAATTCTTTGTTTGTTAATCAACAAATATCTAGTCACTATGGACCCATATGGCAGCTCAAAGCGAGATCTCAGGGCTTGTGTTCTTGGGAAGTTGCTTGGAGACCTTGTGAAAGCACTGAGTGCTTGAATCTAAAAGTAATTACAGTAGCACAGAAGTCTCCAACCTTTTTGACATCAGAGAGTGGCTTCATGGGATAAGTTTTCCCAAGAGTCCAGGCAGGTGGTGAGCAGTGGGAAAAGGTTATAAACGCAGGGAAGCCAGGCTCTCTGCCCTGGGCTCACCTCCTGCTGAGCAGCCTGCTCCCCAAGGGGTGATGCTACCTGGCCTGGCCCTGGGTGGGGGTTTGAGGGCCTCTGAAAAGACACATTGTCATTAACCCTTTTGCCTCCAGCACACTTAGCCATTGTCTCCCCCAATTTCTGAAACAGTTCTGGAAGTCCTCTTTCTTGTACACACATATTTTCACATATGTACACACACATTTTCACATATGTACACACTCACATGGGCTCACACTTCTCAGGATGATGATTAGTGTTTGTATTGTTTCATTGCCACCTTTGTTTTAGTCCAACATTAAATTACATACATTCAGCATCAAGCTAACATTCCAACCGTGATGCACTTGTCAAAAGTCAGTTTTTATGTGTGCTAAGCCCCGTGACCTCTCCTGAGGGGCTGGGGGACCCGAGTGCTATGGGTTTCAGTGTTAGTGAGCATTGCGAAGCCATCAGCTCTTATTTCTGTTTTTGTTCCAGTCAACACCACTGACCTTCATATAATATTGTGTGTATCACATGCTCGCAGGTGCCAGAGGTTAAAAGTGGGGACAAGAGATAGAGGAAAGGTGTGGGGAAGCAATTTGTAATGTATCAAATATCTAAAATTGGTAGGGTCCCTTAATTAAAAAATAACAAGGAAAAGTGGGGTGCTTTACCTTTTAAGTATTGGACAAGCGGGATGGAGTATTTCCTAAAATAAATTTTGTAATTTTTTTTTTTTAAATATAACTGTTACCATGATTCACTTCATCCGCATTTCTGAGTCCCTTTTCTATGGGTGAAAAATTTGAGAAAGATTTAGAGTTCTCTGATGAAGAGAAGATAGAGGGGTGTCATCTTTTCCCGGCACATATATGGATTTTTCCAACTCATTATCACTGAGGTTGGTGGCTGTCCTGGTTTGCCTGGGAACATCTTGCTTTTAGTGCTGAAACTGCCCATGTCTCTGGAAATTCCTAAGTCCTAAGCAAATCAGTCTGGTTGGTTACTCTAAATAAATTCATAATCATCTTGATTAGACAGATGTATTTCTAAGGTAATATTTAATTCTCTGTGATGGGTCATTGTTTGATGGAAATTTATAGCTTTGTCTGAAATATATATATATACATATGTATACACACACATACATAAATATATATACACACTTTGTAGTATAAGTATAGAGTTTTAAAATGAGCTTAGATGCCTGTTTAACTGACCTAGAACTTGAGTGCTAGAATGATCATTAACCTTTTTTTATCCCACACTGATTTTCATGAGGAAGTAACTGAGGTTCAGAGAAGGTGGTTTGCTTATTGCCTGTGACCATTCAGGAGGTTAGAGGCTGATCCAGAATGTGAACCCAGGCCCCCTTGCTCTTGATCATTTTACTTTTTCTAATGTAGAATATGTCTGAAAGGTGTTTTAGCCTCCTCATTCTTTTCTTTTCTTTCTTTTTTTTTTTTTTTTTCTTTTCCTGGTACTGGTGCTTGAACCTAGGGCTTCTATTCTAAACTAAGTTGTATTTTGAGCATTTTCCTTTTAATTTGTCCAGGATCACCTTGAAACTGTGATCTGCCTGCCTCAGCCTCCAAATGGCTGGGATAAAGACAGGCATGAGTTTGCATGGAAAATCGAGTGGCCCAGTCCCAGAGAGAGGCTGATTTCCTTGGCGTGCACTGCATTAACTGCTCCCTGGCCCTCCTCTGTGCATGGTGATGAATGAACTCTGAGGAGCAGTGACAGAACCTTCTTTCTCCTGGGGAGGCTGCCTTCTCTTGTGGCCACAAACATCATCCCCACAGAGGAGGAGGTTCAGGCATGTGTGTATTTCTGCGAAGTGGTACTTTGATCTTGCTATCTCTATTAATATTTGTAGCTTGAAATACTAAGCAGAAAACAGCGTTTGCTGATTGCCTTCCGTGATTTGCAATAGAAGCATGTAAATGGTGTACCGTTCGCCCTCTGAAAGCCTTGCAGCACTGTCTGAAGTCTATATTTTATTTACAGATTAAGCTCAGTATTCTGAGGCAGCTTTTGCATCTTACATCTGTTCTGTGATATCTCTTCTATCATATCAGGAAAAAAAAAACCAAGCAAACCTAAAAACAGAATCTTAAATTTAATATGAAACATCCAGATCCAAAGTCAGTGTTTTCACTGAAAGAAGCTGCTCCCAGTGACTTTCTTAAAGTGAGGGAACCCTTCCCTTATGGATGAATTCTAACATTATGAGAATACCTTTTTTTTCTTACAGAGCTTGAGCAAGTCTAAAGACTCAGCTCCAAAGACCCAGTTGAGGAAGGAGATCATTAGGGAATTGTTCCGAGGTCTAGCTTTTGTTTCTTGACTAAATGAATCAATGGGAACATTCAGTCTGTTATGTCTGTCTTCCCACTTTAAAGCAGAAGTCCTGTAATTCAGCAATATTTCATATACCGGCATGATTAAGGTGGTGAAGAGAATGTTAACTGCACCAGTGTCTGTTTAATTTTAGTTGAAGACTCTCTCATTGACAGATCTGGGCGCTGTGACCTCTTTGGAATTAAACAGTGCCAGGTGATGATGACTTTCTCACCATGCAGCCCTGATGGCTCAGAGTGTCTAGAGGAGAATGACTTGGGGTGGCTCAGCGTGGGAGAGGTGAGCTCCCCTTGTGAGTGAATCAGTTTTGCCGAACAATAGTCCGACCTCCAGGGCTGGGGGCTGCACAGGGCCTATCGAGCTGTGACTGGGCTCGTGATTACCACTTGTCTCTTCTCCATTAAGGGCGTCATCCAGGACGGAAAGATCATCTTCATGCCAAATGGGTACATAACACAGTGTCCAAACCTCAATCGCAGTAAGTAGTGCCTGAAGCACTTGTGGGTTTTAAATGATGCAAAGCTTGCTCAGGGGATCAGGGAAACAACCTCAGGAGGGCTCAGGTAGAAGCCAATGCTGGCTTCTGGGACTGTGAGGGTCCTGGAAGAAAATCCGTTATGTGTATCATATTCTTCCAGGGATCGAACTCATGACTGCCTGCTTGCAAGGCAGGTGCTTATGCACTGAGCCAAATACCTAGCCCCGTGTCTGTGTGGTTTTAAGAAGGTTTTCTTCCATACAGCATTAACATTTGGATGTAAGAAAAGGGTTGTGTTAACAGGTTCTGTGGTATAAGACAGATATGTTCAATGCTATGTATATGTGCGTGTTTTAAATAATTACTATTACACCACACTGTTCTTTAAACTTCTGGACCTGGATATGAGCTCACTTTTTCTCTCTTATATTACTTTATATTTTTTTTCCTGTCACCTGTCTGTCAAAATGAGGTTTTCATTTTGAAATGTCATGTGGCCTTTTTAGTCAACAGCCCCCCTTTCCTGTTTCTTTCTTTTTCTTATGAAAAAAGAAAAAGATCCAGGCCCAAAATCCTCTCTGACTTCACCCAGATTTTACCTAAAAGAACAAAAACCCTCCTACCACCAAAAATGGTTAAGATGTTTTAAAAAACTTTTTCTTACATTAGCACAAGATCAATATATGTTTTATATTTTCTTTATTGAGCTTGCCCTACCTGCAGTGATTTCTTAAGCCTGGTGCAAGGAATCATGGATTTACAAGAGCTTTTGGCCAAGATGACTGCAAAAGTAGGTATCTGAATTTCACTTGTGATGTTCATTTCTTTCGTTGTCATATCAAGTACTTACAGTGATATGTCATAATGGAAACTTTTTTAGCCTTGGCACCTGCAATATGTTACAACAAGAATGTTGTATTTTCCTCTGAAGTGGGATTTCCTCTAGTAAGCATTCAGGCCTTTGATGCTATTAGGCTGCGTCTAAATGTTGTTCTTGAAAAATATTTGGAAGTAAAAGGCAATTTGTATTAGTGTAGATTCCCTAGGAGTGGAAAAAGAATTTGGCCAATGGCTACTAAACTAGAAAAACTGTAAGATGATATATGGTTAGAGCCACTGCTGCTTATTAAAGTCAATGCATTTTAGATGTAAGAGTTATTGCCAAAACCCAGGAGGAGGCAAACTGGCTGTTAGAATCAGATCACTGTCCTAGGAAGACCTCACCTAGTCCTAGGAAGACCTCACCTAGGCTTAAGACTGATTCTAAGTTGAACAAGGAGAGACCAACATTTGCCTTCTGACATTTTCAGCTTTAAGATTCTGCATCTTTTATTCCTCTCCGTCACTTACGAAGCAAACATCTTGGGAGAAACTTCTACCTGCCAGTCACTGTGTGAGGCTTCGAGCTGCACTGATGAGCAAGGCCTGACTTCTGCCCCCAAAGTGGCTGCACGGAATGGCAGACCAAAATTTAAGCATTTAGAAGCCTTAGTGTCTGTTCACGTGGTGTACATTCACGATGAAAACCCTGAGCCTTAAGTGGAGAAAGGCATTGAAAAAATAGAAAATGTAGATGATGCTGTTAGGGTACCAATTAGTTATGGATATGGGTTTGTCCTAGGGTGAAGAGAGAATTAGGGTGAGCCTAAGAGGCATTATATTTTGCCAGAGGAAGAATTTTAATAGCAGCAAAGATGATGCATTTATTCTCTTCTGCCTGGGGCTGTGACTGCCATTTACCTTCAGTCATGGCAGGTAGATAATATTTGGAGGATCGCCCAGTGACTGGGAGACAGGGCTGTGTGTTGGATTCATGGGCTCTGCCCCTAAAGATAGTGTTTTCACATAGAACTGGAATTTTGGTCAAACCCAGTCCCCTTTTGTCTTGGAGGCAGAAATGGGATATGTTTGCAAAGAGGAAGATGGGAGTCTGGAGCGTGAGACAGAAGTGTCTGCCTTCCACTGCACAGTGCTGGAGAAGAAACGTGCCACTCAGTCTCAGGTGATTGAGAGTCTCTGCAGGCTCTGAGGATGCCCTTTTCTTTCTCATTGTGGGAAACTGCTCCTCTTTTAGCTGTATATCTAGGAGCCGCAGTGAGCTCTGTCCTCAGAGCACCATATTGTAAAATGGGCACCGGGGAGGCAGAAAGTATTTATGTGGGGCATAGGGAGCAGATGATGGTTTAATCTGCTTCTTGCACCCCGCTTTTCTCCCCCTGGCATTTTGGCAGACTTGGAGTCTGTTCCTTCCAAACTGTGAAGAGAATTGTAATTCTATCCCCTACTTCCATTTTCACTGCATAATGTGTAATCTGTGGTGATCCCAAGCAGGAATTGCCAAAGAAATTTTTTTTCTATAAATAGCCAGCCAGTAAACACTGGGCTTTTTTAGTTAAGAAGAAAAATTGAGCATATTGTGTGTGTAACTATTTCATTTAAATGAAATTATTTATAATTGGTGAAAACATAATCATTGAAAAACATAAAAACTATTCTCAGCTCACAGGATATTCAAACGCACGTGATAAACCAGACTTGGGCCATGAGCCTCAGTCTGTCAATCTTTGATCTGGAAGGAGCTGGAAAGTCACTTAAATGAACCATATTTATTGAACATTTTGCACGTGTTAGTTCCAACCCCTAAGCATTTTAAATCAGTTCTCACAATAGTCTTGTAAGTTCAGTTTATTGTCCTCCTTTGAGAAGACCATGGCCCAGAAAGGCCACTTTCTACAGGATTGTAAATAGCAGAGCTGGGACCTGAACTCAGGTACTTAGTTTCTGAAAACTGATGTGACTGAGCAATTTTGTGGGTGGAAAAAAGAATGATTAGAAAGAAAGTTAGAATCCATAAAGAGGGGTAACTGTAGAGAGGAGATCACTGTACTAGCAGGAGGCTGGAGACTGAAGAGAGGATGAGCAAATAAAACAGGGAAAGAGCAGCGCCTGTGTGATGGCTTGTGGAGCTGAGCTAGATTTCAGTGACTCCCTTTGGGAGTGAGTACAGAGCTGGCAGCAGCTCCTCAGGAAGGAGAGTCCGGGAATAAGGCCTTGCACCTCGCCTTTTGGCTCTGAGCTGCTTGTTTATCTTGGAAAGCTGCAGGACATCTGTAATGTTGGGTGACACTGGGGGTGGTCTTGCCAGTTTCACTTGGGCACACCACACACTGTGTCATCTGACTGCTGAGAATCAGTCCCCAAACCTGGGAGAGTATTAACTTTAAAATAGGTACAGCCTGGGGGGTCCCACACTTTCCTGTAGGAGCTTCTTTTATGACCCAGTTGTTGGGCTGATCTCTTTTGAGTCTGCTCCTCACATCAGCACAGCCTTAAAGATAAAACCTTGTGGGTAGGATGGAGGTGGGCTTTGGTGCTTGCTTGACTTTTGGAGTCTCTTCTGTTGACCTCTGAGCTGCTCTTCCTTTTATGTTGGCTCTGTGATGCTTTCTGGGGGTTTCTGTTTGTATGTTGAATGTGGTATTTTGCTCAGTTAGTTGGTGACACACTGCCAGCTGTCTACTCTGCCATCCTGGTGGAAATGGAAGGATAGCTCACCCTTTTGACAGATCAGAGGAGAAATGTGAGGCAGTGACACCCAGTGTCACCCAAGCCTCTGACTCCCAGGGGCTACTGCTCCACCGGTTTACTCTGACATTCCCTGAGGTGGCCGAGCTGTCCCCCTGCCAGCCAGGAGGACTGTGGTTTCCTCTGACATTCCCTCAGGTGGGCTGAGCTGTCCCCCTGCCAGCCAGAAGGACTGTGCTAGTGCCAGGTGATCGAGTCCTGCTCTTGGACCCAGCTGTGTTGAAATGGCATTGTGCCCTCAAACTCAGAAAGAGAGCACATGAGAGACTGGAAAATTTTAAATTATTGTTGTGTGTAAATCTTTATAAATCTATGTGTGCACATCGAGGAGCACTTCGAGCAGCAGGCTTTTAAGCTCTAACATATTTAATCTTGGGATTTTCATTATTTTGGAGGGCTTAGTCATAATTCAATAATTATTATTTGATTAAACTTAAAGGTTTAACAATAGCAGTAGCAGCAGTGTTTTCCCTTTTTATGTAGCAAGCATGAAATAAAGCATATTCCAAAGTAGGAAAAACAATTTCTGCATGACTGATACACTCAAATCCATTCATTGACCTCTTACTGTGCAAGAGGCCTCCTCTGCGTAGCTTTGAAGTTGGAGAGTGAAGAATAAGTATTCAGTCCCTGGCTTCCAGATAAACACAGGACACAGATAAACAGAGCAGAGATGTAGATGTCATACCATATCTGTTTTGGATCTGCCAGTCTCAGAAAATGGCAGGCAGTGTAGAAATAGCTTTTGAAAAAGAATTAATATAAATTCAATGCACTAATGCCAGTGACAGAAAATGTAATTCAGTTTTTGAGTCACAGTTGTTTTTCTCTATTATTGTTGTTACAGGATTTAGCAGGGAGAAAGGAAGGCAAGTTTGCATATTAAATGCCTTTGAGAAATTAGCTTTTTGCCTTAATATCCTTTTGCCTTTGTAACTGTCTGACACAGTCATTATTATAGAGATTAGGGCTTTTAAGTGTTGTAAAAAAGGCTAAATACATGTAAAATATAAAAAATCCGTTATGTTAAAACTAAGGTTTTACCCAGGAATTGAGTTTGTAGATGATCATAGCCCAACTTTGATGGACCACTATTGAAAATTGCTAATATTCACCTTAGGCAAGAGCCTAGGTTTTCAGGATAGATGAAGAATTGCCTTTTGAGTCATTTAGTCTTCATCATGTTTGCTTCTGGGGATGATACGGGTACCAGAGTTGTTTCAGGTTTTCAGGTTAAGGTAGAGATTCTTCTCTCCCAAACAGATGCCTATCCTGAACTATTCTTTAGGATGTGTGGAGATCTAGTTCAGCCTCTTTTTGTTCCATCCTCAATCAGGTAGTAACCTTACCAGGAAGTACTCAGGCTTCTAGCAGTGAAAAAACGATAATAAGGAATGAGTTGCTGTTTCCTTTTTATTATCTCTGACCTTGCCAAAGTCTTGGTAATGTATTTTATCTGTGTTTCCTAAAGAATTCCCAAAGATCTTAATTATCACAGATTCTAGGAACTCTATAATGAGGCTGGAGTTTTAAATGAAACATGAGTTTTGGGAAGATCCTATGTATTAAATAAAAGGAGCCATGGGAAGCTGCTGATGTTTAAGTAGTCAACCCTTCACTCTTCAGGGTCTGATCATGATGCGTGTGCTTTGTTGTGTATGTTATTTTCCCTGCCTTTAATACCACCCACGAAAGGCAGGAATTGGCCTGGTTTCCCTGAAATACTCCAAAAGCTTGGGGGAAGAGGAGGAGATGAGTGATCAGTCTGAAAGTTAGAATGACGTGTGGAGCAGAGCACTGTCATGAGTCCTGAGAGGGGCACGGTTAGCATGAGACTGTGTCTCACCCAGAAAGGTTAGCGTGTGTCACTGTTCTGAGGCTCAACCGTTGCAATCTAACATAATGGCTCAAGATAATTTCGGAGGGCTCAGAGACTGAATCAAATTCCTATATGGGAGAAAGTCTCAAGACATGGATGCTTATGCTGTGATTGAGAAAGAAAAGAGAAAGCAGAAGATGAAATGGTGGAAATGGAATTTGTTTTCCAATCATGGCAGCCTGATGTAAGAGGAAAGAGAGAACAGTGATATTGCTCTTGGGCTGAATTACACTATAGCATGTCTGTGGCAACAGGTATCTCAGGCCAAAAAACTGTCTATATTGAGACTCCTTTGGCATTGTATGTTCCTTTTTTGTGGTGCTGTGGATTGAGCCCAGGGCTTTGTGCTGGTGGGGAAGCTCTCTACTGAGGCCCATCTGAGTCCTGTGCTGTGTTTGTGAACACAGACTGACGCAGGCTGGATGAAAGCAATCAGGACAAATTGGAACCATATTGTAAGGAGCTGCTAAAGAAATCCGGTGGTGCTGAATGTGGTCAAGCACCAGCACAATGCTAGAAGAACCTCACATGTTGGAAGATTAGACTTGCTCCGTATGGGTTACATGGCCAAATTAACATTAGCAGTAAAAAGGCAGAGATTTCACATCTTAAACCAGAGTTGTTCCAAACATCCAGAGCCAACAGCAACAAAACAACAACCACAAGAAATGGGTTTTCTTAGGGGGTAGTAAGAGTACCGCCCCTGGATTTGTGGAAGTGAATCAGCTCCGTGATGAGTTTCTTTTGAGGGTACCCAAGCTTTATAATGTCTTTGAAATTGGAGAGTCTAAGGCTCTGACCTTAGTGGTAATGATTGAGTGGCCTAGAAAAAAGCAAAAGATTATTTTGCAAAATTCAGTTCTCACCTAGGGGTTTGCTCACATCATCTGACCTTCCCTGAACATCTTGGTGAATCCCTGGGTCATTCTATTTGGGGCAAATGACCCAGGTAAAAACTAGACCCCTCTATGATTTTGATCCTCTGGCCCCTGTTCCCTAGAATTTTACATTGGAGAGAAAGCAGCGATATCCTAAGTGTGTAAACCATTGTACTGTGGTTAGTGTGTTACAGGGAGATGATGGTAGGGGAGAAATGCAAGTGCATTTGAGATCCATTTAGATCTCCAGTGAATACTGTAATACGGCTTTCATTAGTGGGTTTCCGTATAGGCATGAACTGAAAGCACGCACACACCTTTCTGAATGTTTACGAGGTTCCTGAGATACACTTCCATGTCTCATTCGGTGTTTATTAGACCACGGAAGTCAATGTGTCTTCAGTTTACAGACGTTCAACTTTGTGTTTAAGGGAAAAATGAAAAACCAAAAATAGATCTTGCTAAGAATCTGTGGAACTACTTCAAAAATTTTACTCTCATCCTCTTCCTGTTTGGATAGTTTTTTCCTTGTTACTGCTTTGTTAGGATGACTGAATTACACAGATGACAGTCTGTAACTCTCCTTCTGCAGCTGAATCATGCAGAGACAAGACTTAGTCAGTTGGAAAACTGTCACTGTGAGAAGACCTGTCAAGTGAGTGGATTGCTCTATCGGGACCAAGACTCTTGGGTTGATGGTGATCACTGTAGGAACTGCACATGCAAAGTAAGTACCTTTGGAAATGAGTAAGATAAAACCAGTTTTAAGGGGACAGACATTCTAATTATAGCATAATTAAGTTCTTTAAAATACAATGTCAGTTCCTTTCTATGTACCATTCCTTAGCAATTCAAGCAATTATGAATGCTGAAAATTTGTCATTTGTTATTAGAATTCTTGGGAGGTAAATCTGGTTTTTCTCGCTACACTCTGATTTGATCTTATAATATTAGTAAGAAGCTTCCTTTTTGGAATTTAGAAATTGAGGTATAGAGGGGGAAGAGACTCTTTTGGTTTTCATGCATCTTCACTGTTAGCTTCATCAAAACTTTTCTCAGCTAGAATGCATTTTTAAACAGGATTTAATTAGTCTCGGTGGGTTTTTGTTGTGTTTTGCACGGTATCTGTCATTTGTTTCAGAGAACTGCAGGATGTTTTCCTCCCTCCCTGGTGTCCATCATTTGTGTACTCCACCTATTTCAGACAGTTACGAGAGCTCCCTCTAAAATTAGCATGCAAGCTTTGTCCAGTTAGAATTACTTGATAAATATCTGAAGACTGCTATTGTTTGTCCAGGAAAATACAAAATGAATAGTTAGAGCCTCAGAAATGATCGACAGGGTCTGCAAAAGGTGTTATTTATGTTGGTGTAAAAATAGGCTTTTTGTTTTCTGCCTAACCTGCTTGATCCACATTGGCAGGTGAGATGAAGTCAGTGATGTACATCAGAAAAGTAATTGAGGTGACACGGGTTCTTTAGGGTTAGAGAGATGCTTTATTTGTGGTCCTGGAGTGGAGTGGGTGCTCCTCACACTCGTCTCTTTCCCTGGTGAGGTTTGGGGGTGAGGTTGGAGCTCTCTCTGCAGCAGGAGTGTTTAAAGCCTGCCTCTGAGATGCCGTTTGTCCTTCCTTCCTCAGAGCGGTGTTGTGGAGTGCCGGCGGATGTCCTGTCCCCCTCTCAACTGCTCCCCCGACGCCCTCCCTGTGCACATCGCAGGCCAGTGCTGTAAGGTCTGCCGACGTAAGTCCTAGCCGGGGTTCAGTGTGGGAAGCTTAGTGCTTTCAGATATTTTTCTGCTTTTCAGGTCCCAATCCACTGACCTTGGAACAAAGTGCTTGCTGTTGATGTAATATCAAGTGTATGATGGAAAGCACTGTGATATTTTAATCGCTTGCCATGTGGCAGATATTTTAGATGGCTTTATATTTTCTTCAGAGGCTCCTTGCATGACCCTTCATTGCTGTTCTCTCTGTGTGGAGATGGCTTGTGTTCACAGGGATCCAGTCACCCATGCAGGGTCACTCAATGGGGTGGGTGTAATCGCTAAACAACTCCAGTGTTCCCTGTGCTTCACCTTCTAATTCTGAATGATCAAGTGAAGGGCCAAGTTCCGTTTTGTATTTGGAGGTTCTGGCTAGATGCTCTTGGTGAGGAGGGTCTTAGTTGGATGTTTTGGGATGAAGTTCGGATCAGTACTGAAGCACTTTTCGGCAGTGCTGGCCTGTACGCATACTGTCCTCTGGGTTGCAGACGGCACTGTTTCAGATGAAGCAGTGATGTGACACAGAGGCATGCTGTGGCAGGGAAGCAAGCTCGATTTGGCACCTTTGCTATGTGCCCTGCACAGTGCTGGGTGCTTTCATTCTATCAGTTGATTACATTTTCACAACAGTCCTTGAGGGGGGTGTTGTTATTATCCTACTATACAGGAAGCTTGGGGCTAAGGATGTTAATTTACCAAGGTAAGAGCCTGAGCAGGAGCTGTGAGATACCAAAGTAGCTTTATCTGCTGCAAAGCTTATATTCTTTGTACCGAGCCACAGAAAATGAGAATTGGGCTAGAAATATGATACCCAGTAGATAATTTATGAGATCACTTATTTGCCAAAAGAGTCGCACCAATGCCAGCAGGCATTCAAAGCATCAAAATTTGGTTATTGGTGGGAGAAGGGGAAAACAGCATGTTACCTGCTATGACAGAGGAAGGAAGGAGAGATAGCTGGCCTGGTGAGACCAGCTCAAAATACCTGTGGAACTCTTATGAAAGGAGGTTCGGAATGTTCCTTTCTGTGGTTGGTACAGCCAGTGCTCTGGAAGGTGTTTTTGAAGTTGTTGTAAAGGGAGAAACTTACTTTTCTTCCAAGGCTTTTTAGAGTCATGCCTGACAACTGAGTAAGCTGAAGGGTCCAGCTGTTGATTTATAGTTTTTCCTCTGATGGAAAAACAGTTGTTAGTAGGCACCAAATATTTTTTTCTTACAAACTTGATACTGTTTATAGCAGTGAGCAGTGAAAGAGGCGGAAAACTTTAAGGCATTTGTTAAAAATATGAAACTATTTTAGTCCATCATTTTGTGTTCCCTGTACAGATCTGTGAATAATTACATGTTGTTTGAACACAGGAGAAATGAGTCCTTTAAATGTTTTGTATTTTAGACTTGGTTTTTTTCTTCTTTTTTTTAAATGGTAAAAACACATGCTCATTGTGTAACATTTGAAAACACAGAAAAAGATACAGATTCAAATGGGAAATTCACAAAATAGTGTCACTTGTTAACAATCATGTTTGAAATTTTACTGGATTTCATTTTTGAAGTCATGTCATGTAGACAATTTCATGTCCTACTTTGTTGACTTACCATTGCCACTTTGTCTTTGTTTTTAAAAACTTGTTTTCATTTAACCATTGTTTCCCATTGTGGTTATTTAATTATTCTCCAGTTGCTGGGTATCTTTTTACCATTATAAATTATTTTTGATAGTTTTATGTAGAATTACAAGTTTGTATACATCAGTGTTTTATATTTCTTTAAAGTAGAATTATCCAGAATAGAATTATTAAGCCAAAAAATGACATTTTAAGGTCTTTGGTATATATTATTAAACTGTATTCTCTCTAGGTATCTGTGAATTAGTCATTTTTATTTATTCTAATTCCTTTGAGAGCCTTAGATTTAAAAAAAATATTTTAAATTCTTATCAAGTTTTATAAGATGTTGATACACATGCTAAGTAAACTATTGGTGTAGTTTTTTCCTTTGTATGGAATTCAAATCAGAGTAGTTAGGTCACATTAATTTTATCAGAGGTCTGATTGATAGTTTGACATGCTCAGAATTGAATTGAGATTGCAAATAATTAATACTACTACTCAGGAAAAAATTAGAAAGAAACCATAGAAGGTGCTTGGGTAGTTAAAAGGTTGAGAACCTCTGAATGAAAGGCTTTCATTTCTTCCTGGTTTTTAATAGAAATATTCATCAGGCAGTTACTGAGGATGCCTGCCTGGAATAGTGTTGAAGAGTTTGCGCTGCTCCCAAGGAGCTGCCTTTGATTTTGAGATGTGACTCAGCGTGCCCAGAGCTGCAGGAATGTTAGACAGGGGGGAAGGGCGGTGTCAGAAGGAAGCAGAGGATGAGGGCAGGGTGTTCTTTGGAGAAATCAGAGCCAAGGCAAGTCTTTCTGGTTGCATAGAAGATGCCTGTGGTGGTTTGATTCCAGTGGAGTTGAGAAGAGAGAAGCATGAGGGTTGGTAGCAGAATTTCTAGAAGTTTCAAAGTATTGTTGCATCAGAAAAATGATAGGGAACATTGTCTTCCTTTCAAAGATGTGGAGTGTGTCATGCACCATGTATATTGATTAACTGGATTTTGACATGGCACAGTGTGTACACATTTCAGAACACCACGGTGTGTGCCATAAATACGTATTATTTTAGGCATTTAAATAATAGAATACATAAAAAAGAAAACCAACACAAAGGAACACATAAGGTGCATCTTACATGAATGGGCTGGTGGTTGGATTCTATTTTTAAATCTGCTTTGACAATCTGGATTGTTTTGTTTCCTTTGGGTCATTTCACCCATTTGCATTTAATGTTACTATGGATGTGGTTAAAGCCACTGTTTATTGTGTACCATATCTTCCTTTGGTTCAACTCCTTGCTGTCACTGTCACCTTTCTGTCACTGAGACACAATCCCTGACACCCATGACTTAAAGGAAGAGAGGTTTCATTTGTCTGATGGTTTTGGTCCATGGTAGGCTGGTTCCCATACAGAACAAGATGGCAGAGGAGCTTGGTGGAGGAAAAGGTTATGAAGCTATGGTGGCCAGGAAAAGATGTAGAGGGAGGGAGACTCCTCCATGGGGCATACCAGACTCCTCAGAGGCATGCCCCATGAGCATGTCTCTCCGCCCCCACACCCAGGCCCAACTCCTCACAGCACACTTTGCTCATTCATGGATCTGTCCGGTGATTAGTAGAGCTGTCATCAATTGCTTTCCAAAGCCCCATGTCTGAACTCATGAGAGTCTGGGGGGACGCCTACATCTAAACCATAACATTTGCTTTGAGTTTTAACATTTCCCTGGAGAACTGTCTTAAGGAAATGTCTGATATGTGAACAACATTTTTCTTTTCTGTGAGTTTCCTGAGTTTGGTTTGGGTGAGGCCGTATTCTAGGGACCACAATGAAAGGTGCTGATGTGACTCAGACAACAGGAGCCAATCTGTGAAAGCGGATTGCTTTGTCTGCTGCCTTCCTCCGTTTTCGTCTGTTTGGAACAGTCTCAGGAGCTGGAGCACTTGCAGATGAGGCTTCTGTTTGGAAACAAAAAAGAACTTTATCTAAGCATCCAGGGTGGTCTAGGAAGTGACTGTCCTGTTCCACTCCTATCTATTTGTTGATATCTGCTCTCCCCAAGGCATATTGAGAACGTCTCACATTAAACACCTCTTGGTGAGCTTCTTAAATTGTGAGTTTTTGGAACCCTCCTTAGACCTGCTGAATCAGAGTCTGCAGGCAGCAGTCCACTGAAAGCTGTATTGATTTGGAGTCTGTATTTCAGATCTGCTAGAGATGAGAGGGAGGAGGAAGAAGGAATCTTTCAGCTATGCAACAGCATATTTGTGAAGGAAAAACAGTAGTGCAGTGAAAGGGAGACTGTTTGCCTGATGGTGTTTATGGGAGTGAAGCAGAAATTAAGCTGCCAGTGTGGGTTGGACACAAATGATGAAGACTGAATCCTATTGATGACACTCATTAATCCTTGCTGGCATCACTTGTCTCAAACACTGCCCTCAACTCTGGATGAAACAATGCTGATGTGGCGTCTTCCATTCTATGTCAAGACTGAATTAAGTCATTTTCTATATATCATTCACGTAATTCTCTCAATAAGCCAGAGTGGTAGTCCTCACTATTAGTGCCGTTGTATAGGTGAGAGAGAGAAGAGCCCAGGCTCTCAGCACTGGCAACCTAGACAATCCAGCTGCCACCTAGCTGATGCTCTTAACCTATGTGTTCAATTCACTACCTGCATTATCTCTGCCATCTTCAAAAATGACAGAGGAGAGAGCAGGTAACTTCATCAGAAACTTGCCTATGAGGAGGGTGGGGGAAAACGTCATGGATCACAGCTCAGGAAAGTATCAGAAAGTAAGTGGGAATCTGCTAGACAAACAAGGTAAAACACACCTGCCGGAGGAGGGAGGGAATCACACATGCAAAATCATGGAAATAGTGCAGAATTGGATTTGGTACTTAAGAGCAAGGTTTTATAGCGGGGCTTTGATCTCCTAAAATAAAGTGCTTTCAGAAAGACCACCACATCAAGAGAGCTGGGAACTTGGAGGGGGGTGTTGAATTTGGGTACATTGCAGGCAGAGGTGAAGAGGCTGGAAGGCAGGCAGCCTGGGACGTGCAAAGGAAGAGAGGAATGTGAGTGACAGCTGAGGACCTGGCACACAGTAGCACTGTTTTGCATAAGCATCTGTGAGGCAAAGGTTGCCAGGTTTTTAACAAGATCCTGTGGGAGATTCATGGTGTGATTAACAGAAACAAGGCAGGGGAGGAAGTAGGTTGGGGACTGGTACATTTTATGTGGCACATTTGCACTGGAGGTTCTGGAGGGACAATCAGTTTGATGTGAGTGTCTTGCTCAGAGGGGTGGTGTTTGAAGCCTGAGCTATGAATTAGCTGGCTGAGAGAGGAAGAATCCCTGGGTGCTCAGCTCTTCTGATCTGCCACTCTCCTTTAAAGTGTGAAGCAGGGGGCTAAGTTTGATGGTCTATTCTGCTGAGGGCTGAGGAATGCCTGGAGTGTGTGCAGGTATCTAAATAAAGACCCAGCCACACCTGACAGGCGTGTCAGGCTGTGCCCCTCAGTCCTGTTTTCAGTGTGCACCCAAATGGCAAAATCATTCAATCCTTGCACTTGAGAGAGAAATCAAGGTCAAATTGGGAGGGCCAGGTGATGGGGGATGCAGGAAAACACAACTGCATGACTCTCTAAACCCTGGGCACATTTAGTTCTGACATCCTGGAGAAGTGTGTGTTGGTGGCAGGTTTAATTTCATGGTTGGCCACTGTGAAATATTCCAGTTTGCATGTCCCAGGTGTGGTATGAAGGGCTTCAGGTATCCATTTACATTTCTGCCTGCCCGAAAGCTGTGGAAATGAAGTCCCAGGTGCCCCAGCCAAGGGTACCAGAGCCTGACCCATTTTATGCTTGAATTTCCTCAGACATCAAATATAAGCTTTTCAGCTGTAAAATTAAGAGGCTGGGTAATAAGGACCGGTATTAGGCATAGGGAAGGGAGTGGCAAGGTAGAGAAGGGCTGTCAAAGAAATCGGAATAGGACAGAGAGAACAAAGGGGATTCTTGTAACCTCTGGGGGTGAGCCCAGAAGTTGTCTTAGATAGTTGTATGGACACCTAGTGTCCTAATCATGTGTGCATTCTGTGTCATTGCAAAGCACGGAAATGACAGGAATGTAGAAATTTGCCAGGCTCCAGACACCCTGCTATGTGAGGCTGTAAAGCTCAGTGGACCTGTAATTCTTATACCAGACCAGTGGATTTGGGGGGTGGATGTGTCCCTGAGTGAGGTGGGGCCGAGAACAGCAAAGCATCCTTACTTCCACAAAGGAGTTCCGGGGTGAGTCTGTCAAAAAGGAAGAAAGAAGTCAGGCAGACACTTTCAAACCGGGTTACAAGTGTGCTAATGCCATTGCGGGAGTGGCAGGGGGCAAGGAAAAATCTGCTCCTGCACTTTCTGGCCTGAGCCAGGAAGCAGATGGCAGACATAACAGCAGAGCACTTGGCAGGGCTGTGGCTCTGGTGCAGGCCACCTTGCCAGGCTGGCAGCGGCTGTGTGGGGAATGTGGGAATTTTCAGACAGGAACTCCAGGCCCTGGAAATGTGGTCTCTCTAAGCAGGTGAAGTTGGGAAGTCCAGATCATCATTAAGACCAGTGAGCCTTGGTCTACAGACTTATCTAGAAAATTAAGATGTAGAAAGTGACCAGGGAAGTATATATATATATATAATTTTTTTTAACAAAGAGAGGAAAAGGCCCATTTTGAGAATCATACTGGTTTTCCTTTGTCGGTCCCCTCCCCGCACTGAAATATTTCGAATTTGCTTTTAATGTTTGAAGTTGCATTGAAGAGCTGAAATAACTTTTTATGCATGAACCAAGAAATTTAACTGACTTTTGCTCCTGAATGGAGTCCATGAATTCTAAAATTGTTATTACTAAGGATGAACCCATAGATGCCCTGTGCTAGGGGACTAGAGGTGATATTGGGAAAAGCCCCTTCCCTCAGGGGATTTACAGAGCTCAGGGAGTTGTGTGATTACACATGCAATTAAGATGTGCTACGAGGCGCAGTCCGCTAGGGGTCCCCAAGTGAGTAGAGCCTGGGTGCAGGGAGGGCAGCTAAGCCCTGGTCAGGAGCAGGAGCAGCTTCCTGGGGAAGTGAGGGCTTCCCCGGGGCTGGCAGGTGAAGAGGCGGGAGGCTGGCACTGCAGTAAACAGGGCTGCTCATTCTTGCAGAAAATTATACACAAAGCTGGAAGTGAGAGGGACAGAGCGGCTGGGGCAGGTGAGGTGGTGTGAGCAGAAGCGCAGGAATTGGTGAGCTTTGAGGTTTGAGAAGGAGAGAAGAGCCACAAGAATGGCCTTGTGTGCTGAAAGGAATCTGGTTTTATCTGGAAGGCATCGGGTCCCTAAATGCCTTTTAGAGAGGACCTCATATTTGCACATAGAAAACATGCACCTGGCTGTTGTACGAGGAAGGTCTGGGGAAGACAGAGGCTGGAGCACAGGGGAGCCAGGAGGCCCTGTGACACTAACACAGAGAGCTGACAATGGCCCAGTGAGGACAGTGTCTGGGAAGTGGAGAAAATAACTCACGTGGAGAAATTTAAGGAGGGAGCGTAGTTAGCGTGTGGGCACTGACTGACACTCAGCTAAATAAAGGCAGAAGTTAGAAGAACCAGAAGTGTGGCTGTCAAGGCCATTGCTGATACCATTCTCTGAAAGGGAAGCGTGAGAGTGAAATATGTTTGGGTGGCATGCGGGGCTGCTGCAGGTCAGGCTCTGAGGGGCAACAGACTCTGAAGCAGAGATTTGTGTGTGCTTCATAAGAAAGGCCTTTCAGGGTCAGCTCTAGGGCAGGATGGAGGTGGTATAGGAAGCACAGTTGGGCAGAAACACAAGTTGAATTTCAAAGTAGTAGAACGGGTTCCCCAGCTGTTCCAGCAGGGCATTTCATAACTGGAAATTGCCTTTCAGAGTTGTCCCAAGTTAAGGCAGTGAGGCCAGAACTCTGCCACACTTTCTTCAAACACTTATAGGATACAGGCTGCCCACAGAAGGCAACTTGACCTTGGGCAAGGTGCTGTCTCCAGCCCAGGACAAGCCCTGAATAGGTAGCTGAGATCTGTCCCACAGTGGCAAGAATGTGTCTTTTGGTCATGGAGGGGCTTTGAGTAGCTCACCCATGTATCCACTGCAGAGGCCTAGAGTTAAGTAAATTCTTCTCTAACTTTCCTCCTCCCATGGATGAAAAGAAGGGGTTGGAGCAGCTGATTACTAAAGTTCTACATACTGGAACATTCCATGCAGTTAGAACTGCAGAGCTACCCAGTGTAACCAATCTATTTTAAACCCATTTACAGAAAAAGAGGTTCTAAGGTTGAGGGTGTTGGTTAGTGGAAAGTGAGCTCTCAGAATAAATGTCTCGGCTTCCACTTCTGAGAGCACGAGCTAGTAGGATCCTCCTTGGGGCAGGAAGGGGAGCAGTCAGGCCTCGGCTTCTTTGCTCCTCTTGCACTGGCTGCAGAATTTGGTGAACTCACATTAGGGTCAGATCAAGCTGACATGTTCTGTACTTACTTGAATCGAGTTAGCAGTTTAAATCATGGACAGAACCACAGTGGAATCTAAATTGAAGTTGTACTTACACTTCGCTCAGAAATTTTCTGCAAGGCTTACTTCCACCCCTGCCCTCTCTATTAGCCTGGCAAGCTCGCCTTTCCACAGGTGGTGTGTCTGGGGCACTGATGTAGCAATTTACTGGACTAGCTTGTGTTTCTCTGTTGTCTGAGGGCTTATGGACAGATAGGCTAAGGACCGCTGCCTCCCATGATCACAGGAAAAATACACAACATCCTCACCCACTGCAGCCAGAATTCTGATAGGCGGAAGATATATGAGGCCCTTTCACTCAGGTGCTTATTCCACAGCTGGAGTGTCTGAGTCAGACCCCTTCAAACTGTACCCTAGGTGATGGCAGCCAGTTCTTTTGCCTTTTAACCTCTTCCTGTATCAGTTCATCCTCTCATTCATCTGGCAACTGCAACATTGAAGTGACTGCATGCTCCTGGTGTGCAGGTAATGAGGCTCATCATGGCAGGGGTCCAGGAGGGGGCCCTACAATATTCTCATGCTGTTCTTCAGACAAAGACGTCTGCACTGCTCAGAGGCTGAGAATCTGCCTTGGTGGAGTCTATTGGAGCTGGATGGTATCTCAGAGATGATGTGGTTACATCACATGACTAGCTGATCTATTTTTCTGTTTTATTACAGCAAAATGCATCTATGGCGGGAAAGTTCTTGCAGAAGGCCAGCGGATATTAACCAAGAGCTGTCAGGAATGCAGAGTAAGTTCTAATCTCACGATCCCGTGGTGAGGAGATAGTTGGGAGAGTGGTGTGGGCTTTTGCTAGGTTCTTAAACAGGGCATCTTGGCCAGGATGTTTTGCTGAGGGGCAGAACCCTATAGGTGCTGGGATGAGGTAGAGCACACGGTGGGCACAACCTCTATTCAAGTGTGATCAGCCAAGGTCAGCTGAGGATCAGGTAGCCTGGGAAGTAACCAATAAAGGCAGAGTGTTGAGAGGGCAAAGTGCCAGCAGTTACTGTGAGGCAGGCGGTTTGGGGGAGCTCAGGAAATGGTTTTCAGTTGGTGTGGGGGACTAGGTCCGTGATGCCAGATGCAGTAGTGTCCTCCTGCTCCTGAATGTCAGGTGTCATGCTGCAAAGTGCCCTGTCTCTTGCTCACACCTTCCCCAGAAATAAAATGTAAAGAGTCACGGACCTCGTTTAATAATCATCTGGCACAGATGCATCAGGCAAATGCTCCGCTAACATTCTTCTCGATTTCAGGTACAGAACAGTGCAGAAAAGAAAGTTCCTCATTATAGACCTGCAGTGTAGTGAGGGAGAGGACAGGAATATAAATTTGAGATACAATGACACTTTCTGTTTGAAATTCTGTAGTAGACTGAAGGGATAGAGAGGTTGGGAGTAAGGACTGATGGTCTGGGAAGGCCTCGCTGAAGGTATAATTTTAGAATAAAATCCTGGGCATGGAGAGGGAGCCAAGCATGCAGCTCTTTGGTTGGGACGAATTCCAGAAAGAGGAAAAGCGGTGCAGAGGGCTTGCAACAGAAGCTTACGTGGCATGTCCCGGGTAAGCAAGGATGCCGCGGGTGGCTGGGAAAGTGAACAGGGAGCAGTAGGAGATGAAAATGGGGGTATGGTGTGGGGCTAGAACATTTAAAGACTTTTAAGACAGTGTTTCAAAGGTCCTGTGTTTTGACTTTCCTATTTATGTAAATCCTATCCATCATGGCAATGCAGTGTGTTCTTTCCTGTACGTTTTCCTTCATTCAACAAATATATATGAGCTTCTACAATCTTTTGTGTTCATATTTCATTAAATGCTTTTGGAGCAACTATTGTGTGCCAGGCATATTGCAGGATGGAGATTAAAGATAAGACCTTATGACTCCCTGAAGATGCTGATATGCCCTGAAGTCAGGAGGCAGGGAAACCAAGCTGTAGTGCAGGGTCGTGAACCTGAAGCAATTGATCAGTGCTTTGCACTAAGTGATAGCACTGGTTAGGGCACCCTGACTCAGTGTGAAGGGGCCAGGTAGTGCTTCTTGAAGATGGCGGTTGCTCTTCACCAGAAATTACTTCCCAGATAGGTGAGAGTGAAGGCATATTCCAAGCAAAATAAATAGCACTCACAAATGCCCCAAGCCAGAAGGAGGGCTTGTCTTATTTAGGGAACTGCAGTGAATTTGACTATGTGATATCTCAGGGTGAGAGAGTGAGGAGGGAGAGGCCTATAAAGTTCGTGGGGGTGAAAAGGTTGGAGCTGATATTAATGGGAATGAGGATCCCCCGCAGGTGTGTTGTGTGTGTGTGTGTGTGTGTGTGTGTGTGTGTGTGTGTGTATGGAAGGCTTTGAATTTCAAAGGACACTGTGATTGAGTTGGTGGGGACACTTAGAGGAGGAATATGTGAATTTGAGCAGTGGTAGCCAAGAAATGAAGCAGTTCAGGCTTAAGGCAGCAATGACAAAGATGGAAAAGAAATTTGAGAGCTAATTTTAAGAAATAGAAGAAAAGTAGCTTTGTGTTTCCTTAGGTGTGGGAGAGACCCACTGTGAGAGAGAGAGAGAGCGAGAGAGAGAGAGAGAGAACTAAGTTGATGTCCAAATTCCTGGTGTGTTCAAAGGGAATAGCAGGTTCTGTCTTTGGAGGAAATCAGCAGAAACCTTCTCCAGATAAGCAAACTGATGATTTTATGGGAGGATGTGAGAGGACTTTTCTAATTCCCTGAAAAGATAGAAAGATCAGGTTCAGGAGAGAACAGGGTCTAAGCCATTCCAGAAGTGCATAAGCAGAGGCATCACCAGATTCAGGAGCTTATCTGCTGTGGCAGGTGACTTTTAATCATTTCTGCTGTCCTTGAGTCCCCTACAGAAGATTCAAGCTCTGGGACAGGGAATATGATTAATATAATACTGGATCAAACACACAAGTCCTTATTGTTGGGGTGGGACATTATCTAGCTCCTATGGGCTCAGCATGGGAATCTGGTCTCCTGGGATTACCATCCTATTAAACTGCATGCAGCGGAGACACCATTCGCCAAGAGGAAGCTATGGTAACTACAGAAGGGGACACTAACTCCTGTGTCACCTAAGGGTGATGAATGCTGTCTTCATTCAATAAGGTAGTTGTGCTTAATCAGGTCACAGAGGGTGGAGGACAAATGGGGCTGGTTTTAGACAATGTGGATCTTGACTGTATTTTGCCCATCAGTGGCTACAAAACCATTTTCCCAAAACTTATGGGCCCAAAATCAACACTTTATCCTTCTTTCTCATACTTGTGTAGGTTAACGTGCTGAGTTGGAATCTCATAGGCTGCTAACGGTAGAATCCTATGAAGGCTTGACATGGCTGGATGTCCAAGATGGCTTCTTTCCCTCCATGTCTAGCACCTCAACTAAGATGAATGGAATGAATGCCTTTGTCAGTGTTTCTCTGTGCTGCTTTCTTTTTCTCTTTTGCACCCTCTACATGTGGCTATCCTGGCCTCCTTCCTTACAGAACCATGCTCTCAGGGGTTTCTCACATGGTGATTAGCCTCCCCTAGCATAAGCCCTCTGAATCCCAAGATGGAGGCTCCAGTACACCTTGTAACCTGGTCCCCAAACCCATGCCTATGTGTTCTTTCTATTCTTTTGGTTGTTTATGACCAGCACCAATTCATCACAGAGAGGATGCTGCGAGGATGTGACTGACAGGAGGCATGATTCGCTGTGAGATGGCATCTTTGGAGATCAGCTACATAATAAGTGTTTGTGGTACAATTTTCTTCTTGTAAATGCCATGTACATACCTGCCCATCCAGTTCACATACCTGGATGGGAATTTAGTAACCCATTAAGTCGCTTTTTGCACACCTAGAAAACTTTAGCAACCAACAAATTCCCTTATTTAGGTGATTATCTAACTCTGCAGATCCCCTACCCACTGGTCTTACATTTGTTTTCTCAGAAGAGAGCAGGCTACTTTAAAGTGTAACACTGAGGCTGAAAGGTCCAAGTCTCCTGTGAAATATACCTGAGTTTACATCCTGAAATTTTACCTAGTTGTTAGAGAAGTGCTGTTTGCGAATGTAGAGCTGGGTTGGAGAACATGTTTTGGTCAGGAAGAGACAGTGAGAGCTTTTCCATTCTTCTGCATGTTTTCCCTTTCCCCCTCTTGCCTGATCAATTATCAGGAAAGAATTCTAGAGGCAGAGCCCCCAGCCCCAGAGGAAGGTGGGTTAGGCCAACTTCAGTGAGAGCACATTCGCCATCCAGGCATGGAGGCACATAGCCGTAATCCTAGAGGTAGGCGACTCCCAGAGTGAGGCTGAGGCAGGGGGACTGGGAGTTCTTAGCAAGATTCTGTTTCAGAATGAAAATTTAAATGGAACACTGTGTTGCAGCTCAGAGTGGAGTTCCTAGGTTCACCCCGAGAGAGAGAGAGAGAGAGAGAGAGAGAGAGAGAGAGAGAGAGAGAGATCTTGTCCCTGTCACTTATACTGAGCTGCCTCACCAGAAATGCTTTTGCTGCCCAGCACTAACTTGGAACAGTTGACCCAAACCCTACTGCTTACCCATTGCATTCCTGGTTCTGCACAGCAGGGCCGGAGGCAAGGTGAATTTCTGTGTTGATGCTTTATTGTTCATTCTTCAAGGGTGGTGAAGTGCAGAGAGGGAGATGTGTAGTGCTGAATGAGAGCGCGAGGAACAGACACAAGAAAGTGAAGGGGAAGGCAGGAGAGCAGATCCCAGACCGCATGTTCCAGAGAAGCTGCAGTCTCACAGCAAAGTATAGCTGGTTCGGAGGCTCCTCCAGAGATGCTGACGGCACCACACTGCCTGGGAATAGCCCGTCTTTGCAAGGGCATTCACCTACGTTATTTCATTTTCCTTTCATCACATCCCTAGAGAAAAGCATGAAATGTGTTTTATACATTGAAGAGAATGAGGCATTCGAGACTAACAGGAACTTTCAAAGAGACCCTATTAAAACAGGAGCTAAAATTAAGTTGTTCAGAGGAGCCTGGAGAGAAGGGCTCTGCCCTGTATCCAGTCTCGCCTAGGACAGACTCTGTCCGCCTTCACCGTCCTCCCCCATGGCTGCCTTTGGGAATGTGAGACAATGCTTGGCTCCAGCGGATTTGCTGGGCTCATCAGTATGGCGATCTCTCTGCATCAGTAGGTGCTGGTTGCAGGGGTCCCTCAGTCTGTGGTGGGGGCAGTGATCATGTGGCAGAGGGTGCAAAGACCTGTCAATGAATAAGGAGGCTCCCTGGCTGGAGTGGGGGACCAGGTGGGCTGATCCCTAGCCCAGGCCAGGCACATCACACACGGGAGGATCCAGAGAATTAAATGAGATGTGTGTGAAGAGCTCAGCACCTGCCTGAGTTTGCTCCTAACTGTTCTTCATTGTTTCCTGGGCCCACACATGTTCTCCATGCCTGCAGGGCAGAGCTCACACTCTCTGTAAACCGGCCCACTCCTAGGGGAGAAGAGGGGATTCAGATTCTAAATCCCTCGCTTCTGTCTTCTGTATCTGGCAGAGCTGGGATGAGAAAGGCAATTTTGCCCACTCTGCAGTGGTCCCGCCCCCAGCCATCGATCTGTCACCTATAAACATCAGTCCCTTTTATAGTTTTGAGCAGAAGTAGTGGGTAACTTTGGTAAGGTCATCATTGTGACTTGATCGCTGTTATCCTGAGAGAATCCACACGGACACATATGAGAGCTGCAGAAGACTTGAGTGTGGATTCAAAGGCCAGCTTATCTGAATGGTCCTGGCACATTGTAGGTGTCCTGCATCCCTCAGGTCATCTTTTAGGGCTTTTGTTTCACTTGTATAGTTTATGGGTCATTCTCTTTGCACAAGTGGTCATTCTTCTTCTTTTCAAAGTCATTAGTTTTTATTTAGGGTCTTTCTGCAATTATTTGTGAAATAATTACTTTGTGCATAGAAAGTCTATTGACAAATAATATATAAACTTTCTAAGCATTTACTATTTTTTAGGTAACATTTAAAGCATTGGAAACATGCTATCACATTTAATCCTTGTAGTAGCTCTGTGAGGTGGGTCCCCTGCAGACTGAAACTGAGGTGGAGAAACAGTGCTGTGTGATTGGTGAGCGAGCTTGCTGGAGTCAGAACCCTTATGGTCTGGCTCTGTGACCTCCTTTCTTAGCCTCTCTGCTGCTGTTCCTGGGGCTGAAGGACTTATTCAGACTCATCTCCAGACTCAACTCCAGGCTCATCTCTGAAGCTTAGAGAGGTGGATTCTGAAGAATTGAGTGACCGCTTCTCACTCTGTCTGAGATGGGTTGGGGTAGGACCCAGTGACTCCCTTGATCAAAACAGCACCTACCAGTGGCCATGGGAGAGCTTTAGTGCATATTTAATGTGTGTGATCAGTAGGGAGAGAGGGTGACCAGTGTAGGATGAGAGGTCTCCTGGTCTCTCCCAGGTAGCCTTTCTGAGATCTAAGCCCTAATGCCATATGGCACAAGCTTTATGTAATGGAATCACTTCTTTCTTAGGTGCCTAAAATGGTGCTCTGAAAGTACCATCTATGGACAAATAGAGAATGGTTACTGATATAATTTATGTGCTCTGCGTTTCTGACAAAGATCCCAAGTTGACAGAAGCCTACTTGGAGATCCTTGCATTCCTATTATAAGGGAATTATTTTAAAGCCTCAGTCATACCAATTAAACACTAAAAAAAAAAAAAACAAGCAAACAAACAAACAAACAAAAAACCTGTTCATTTCAAAATTTCTGGCATTTCCAGGAGGTAATATATTGTTTTTGAATAAAAAACTAAGATAAATAAACTGTCAGAAATCTTATTTTGTCCCTTTATTCCTTTTCTGAATTTTTTTGATTTGAGATGTTAGTTTTATATGTTATTAGAAACATAGCAGTGAATTAAGGAATTGAAAATGATTATTTTCAATGGAGACAATCATTCCAAGAAAAAATATAGAAGAATTACGTTTTTCCACCAACCCAGAGCTCAGTATAAAGTTCAGGCAATAACACACAATAATCAGAAAGATGCAAAAATATTAACTATAAACAATTTCATACAGGAGCGAGTATATAAAATAAAGTTAGTAGAGACTCAGGTCTCTTCTGTAGCTGGACTGGATGGAGTTAAGGGCACTTATGGAGCACAAACACGGTTCATGTTATTCTGAAATTCATGCCTCGGTTTTGTCTGCCTAAGAACTTGGAGTTTCAACCTTGCTCACTGTTTATTAGAATTTTTGACAGCAGGCTCATTTTATGAAAAGAAAATCTTTCATAGGTGAATTTTTTAAAAAAAGTGTAAAGTCTACTGCAGTACTTTTAGTATTTTTTGATTCATAAAACAAGTGTATACTTACCTTATACAATTTGGAATTTAGAGAAAGGCCTCGAAGGAAGAGAATGGAATTGCTCCAGAGCCTTACCACCTAGAGATAATTTCGTTTATGGGTTCCATCTTCGATAGTAGGAGTAAAATTCATCTTGACAACCTTTGTTTGGTCTTCCCGGAAGAAGACTTGAACTGAGGCTCCCCATAAGTGATTTATTAATGCAGCGCTCCCAGGGGAACCCAGACAGGCTGTGTGGGTGACCGGATGGGAGGGGAAACTGAGCAAAGTTGCACTTTCTGATGGAAGGAGAGACATAGCTCAATTCCACCACTGTGTCTGGGACACCCCTTATGGCCCAGAGAGTGTCCTTCCTCTGTGATGGGCACATTCCATACCATTCAGTCAGTGGCTCTGGGCCAAGGAAATGGGGTTGCAGGACTTCTAGGTTACTTCTGGCTCCTGGACACAGTGGTTCCAGGGCCCAGGGGCAATGCTCTGAGGAGGACAAGGTGAACCCTTGGTATCCAAAAGTCTGGACCTTGGATGTGGGCACAGACAACTAATTAAAGGGATCCAAGAGAATTCACCTCCCATATATATGCCAGGTCTAGTGGGTCAGAATAAATGTATTAATATGAGCAGATGGGGTTAGAGGGAAATAATGAGAAGCATTCAGCGTTTTCCTTACAATTTAGTTCATGCTCCTTGTAGTGTGCTATTAGCTTTCACTGATTTGTGATCATCGGTTTCATTATTTGTAGGCGAAACTGAGGCACAGCAGAGCAGGACACAGAAATCCAGCCTCGTGCTAACTGTTGAGGTTTGGTGCTGCCCCTGCGATTGGGAGAGAGAAGTAAGGGTGGAATCTAGTGAGATGTGGGCCAGGGAGTAGCAAGATCAATTTTGAAGACGTAGATAGATTCAATCCTAGGATAGAATCAGGAGAAAAGTGAGAGGCTGGAAAGTGAGGAGCAAAGGAGAAGAAAAAAAAAGATACATCAAAGAATGCTGGATACTGGTCCATCTGGGTGGGAAATTATAAGAACAGAGAGAGCCGTATTGCAAACAAGGTATCTAAAGGTTGAGTCATTGGAAACTTATATTCCACACCGAAGGATATGTTTTTCATGTGTGAGAATGACTCAATGGGAGTTCTTGACCAACTGGAGATCCGCAGGTGGTTCTGGGGCTGGGGTGACCGAGTCTCTTGCAAAGGGAAGGCTCTGTCGCCGCCGCCCTTCCACGCTGTCTACTCTTCCAGGTTGTTCTCCCACTGAATCAGGAGCAGCCTTTGGCTTTCAAGGAGACTCCTTTTCTGAATCCATTTCTCGACTGTCTTACAACCTAAGAATGGGAGAGAAAAACTAAATGTGTTAGGTCCAGTAGGGGCCTCTTCAGCCTTCTTAAAGATTGTAAGTAATGGGCTCATTTAGACATTTTTACATAAAACTGAGTACCGATTCTAGTAAGGCCCACAAAGAGGATCTCAGATGAAGTGAGGTCATGAGGATACAGTTGCCGAATATTTAATATTTCATGGGAAAACCTAGTGCTCATCTACCTGACCCTCTTTTATCTCCTTCACACCTGGACATGGTGGCTCCTGTCTGTGTCCTCTGCCCTTGAGGTCTGTTCATTCCTTGCTCCTTTATTCAGATTTCCATACATATGGCATCTCCGCAGTTTCTTCCCATCTGGGTAGAATTAATTACCCTCCCATCACACCGTGTAATGCTTTTATTAGGACACATCAGTTTTGGACTTGCTAGACTACATTATGGTGTATAGTTTACGAAGTTTTTGTCTGTTACACCTAGACTGTGAGCTTGTTAAGAACAAGGAGGAGGTGTCTTGAGTGTGGTGGCACATGCCTGTCATCCCAGCACTCGGGAGGCTGAGGCAGCAGGATTGCCACAGGTTCCAGGCCAGGCTGGGCTGCATAGTGAGTTCAAGGGCTGCCTGAACTGCATAGCCAGACCCTGTCTCAAAAACACCAAAATTAAAAACAAAACAGGAAGACATTGTGTTCCTCTTTAGTTTGCAATGCCTGGTACCCAGCAGAGTGCTGGAATTGGTGCACTTAAAAATGGCACAGAGCTCTCCGACTCTGCTTTCACTGATGTCATAGTGCCCATGGCTCAGAACCCACCATGGTTAGAATATCGACGGCAGAAATCAGTAAACCTCACAAAGGAAACCTCCCCTTCTCAGGTCAATTGTTAAAATTTATCGGCTAACACTGTCAGCATCCTTCTTCAGTACAGAAGATACTAAGAACCCTGGAATTGGGCTCGGTTGACATAGAAATGGAGTTTGCCTTCTTTCCAGGACTTTCACTGTTTAATTTGCAATGTTATTATTAGTGGAATCTCTGGGAGTGCTTATACTTTCTGATTGTTATCACTGCAAGCTATTAACAATGAGGATTATTAGTTGGTACCATTGACTAACCACATGAATATCTTTTTTATTTCACGGATATCTGACCTCCAGGGTGGAGTTTTAGTGAAAATCACGGAAACGTGTCCTCCTTTGAACTGCTCAGAGAAGGACCACATTCTTCCAGAGAATCAGTGCTGCAGAGTCTGTCGAGGTAATTTGGTTTGGTGGGGTGTGCAGGTCTGTGCTTGGGATAGGACTCGGGTGGCCGTGTGTGTGTGTGTGTGTGTGTGTGTGTGTGTGTGTGTGTGTGTGTGTTGTGTGTTTAATGAATAGTGTGAAGGGAAAAAAGCACACACCACAAGCTCTGTTCTGATCCTAGAAATTTCTGTTTCTTGTTTATTTTTCTCAGATATAGCCTCTACATTTGCAAAATGAGGATAATATCTACTTCTTAAGAGTGCCGTGAAGACTAAACAAGATAATGCATAAGCACCTAGCCTAATGCCCACCATGTGATAAGTGTCCAATAAATACTTGCTGCTACAATAATGCTAGTGGTGGTTCCTATAATAATCATCATCCCCATAATTATTACATTTTCCTCATGAGTAGATTGAGGAGTTATCTTTTCAGCCTGGTTCATGGACCAGTTCCTGTATCTCATAGAAAATATAACTCACAGTGAATCTTTATTCATGAAATTAATTTATGCGCATTTTGTTTTACTTCTTTGAATGTGAAAACAGACTGAAATGAGTAACACCTATTGCTAATTAATTCTTGGGTATAAATTGTTTTCTCCCTCTTCCTAGAATTCCTTTTTCCCCCAAATACATTCTTTCTACTCACACGCTTTTTTCCTCTCTCTCAAATTCTTGCCTGGGCAGATTAGATGGGTAAGGAGAACCCAGAATTTATGCAGAGTCCTAAAGTTGAGACCACTTAAACTGATAGCTGTGATTTTAAAAACAGTATCTACTCCCACTACTTCACTTTCTCAAATCTCCAGTTAGATCTGTGTCGCCAGAATTTCCACCCTTCTAAAGTAAAGAAGGCCGGAGCAGCCTTGTGGTTTGTCTCAGGTGACCTCATCTTTTACATTTTTGTATCTTTTCTGTAAAACAAGAGTTAGTAATAGTGGTTATTTTAGCTTTTGTAGATGAGCAGATTTCTATTACAATTTTAAATTCTACACTATGCAGAAAAGCAGCATAGATCATGGGTATAGGAAGAGTGGTGGCTGTGTTCCAGTAAAATTTTATTTACCAAAACAAGTGACAGCTCCGAACTTGCTGACCACTCCCCTAGCACATTTTGAAATACAAAAATGTTCTGTTTTTTATCATGGTGTGTTTTTATTTCAGGCTGTGACTTCTGTCTATGGTTGGTCATGAGAGAGCCATGCTGTAGTAAAATTCTTAGGAAATCTTGGTACCTGGAGAATCAGGGATATGCTAACCATGGCATCAGAGTCTGCCCTGATGTATCTGCTTTTATGACTACAAGCGTGTTTGCAGCTGGGATGCTTTGGCAATTCTTACACATTGAATGGGATTTTCAGAGGGATGAAACTATTGGTAACCAATAAGGGTATCAGGTGGGCCTTATCATTTAATGCAAAATCCGTCACTTGCTCTTTGTTGAGGTGCCAAGTGGGACTCAGCTTATGCCAATCCCTTCTGATTTATGGTTTCATTAGAGCAGGATCATTGATTAGGCCACAGAAATTCAAGAGGAAGTCATTACTCTAACCCAGTTTACAATAGAGCAGAAGGCCCTGCTTGTGCTAGTACTTGTCCTGCCCTTCTTTATCAATAACAATGCTGAGAGAGGTCACACCTCACTGGAAGGCAGACTCCCATTCCCAGCACTCTAGGGGATTTTACCAAACTTGACTCAGCTACAGGAAAGTGAGAGCAAGGAGTGAGGCTCCCCAGACTTGGTCTGGGCCATTTGATAAACTCAGGATATTTTTTCTTATCCTTCTTCATATGTGTTTTCTTCCATCCCAACCAGGAAATCCTTTTTATTTTTATTTTTTTTTTTTTGAAGCTGTTGGTTTTCTCTGGAGATTCCTGAGGGATAAGTGAGTTTCTGCTGTCCTCTCTGACAACTCCACATTTTGACAGGAACTGAAATGTGTCTTTTTGGAAAAATATGGCAGAGTGGAATTTCTTGTGGGAGGTTGGGTGAATTAAAACTTTCAGGTCTATGAGTTCTCGTGTTTCCCGTCCATCTCAGAATTCACTGGAATGAAGGAATTATTTTTCACTAAGGTCCTCATTAGCAACTTTTACCTCAGTTACTTCCTTCTTCCCTGTTGACCCATAGCAGAGAGGGTACCCAGGCTCCCTGTGCACTTCTGTGTATCGGGCAGTCAGAAAATGAGAGGCATGTTCATGTGGACAGTCAGCATCTCTTACGTAAACCCTACCGTTTTGATAACAGCAAAACAGCAGTCCAGATGAGCTCAAAGTACTGTTGTCCTCTACTATGCCTGTGATGAATTTCAGTTCATTTCCTTCCATTCCAATCTATCTTCCAAGAGCCTCTCTGCAGGTAACATAGTAGACTCTGTAACATAGTGGTTTCTGTGAGAAGTCTTTTATCCCTCTGATTCTCATTGGCTTCTTCCCTTTTGATGCACATTCATATCTTTTGAGTGGGTTCTCGCAGAGAAGAAGGGGCCAAATAGTTAATATTCTGCCAAGATTTGCAAAGCCCAGGGACTTTTTCCAAGATAAATTATTCAGCTTTTCTTGCCTTTTCTCCTTCCCCCCTATCTAAAACAGTAAGTAATAGAAAGGTGAGAAACACTCGATTTCTATGTAAAGCAATTTTTACCCTGCGCGTGGAGAGGATGGCACTGTCCATAGATTGGCAGGCAGCAAGTAAAGAGAGAGGCGGGAGTTGGATGAGATCAAGTGCGTATTTCAAGTGCTGTGACATGGTGTGATGCAGCCGTGTGACTTTTGCCACCCTGGCTTCAGTGATTCCAGAAACCAAAGTGTCCCTGGCCCTCTCACACTTGCACTGAAGACCTTACAATTAGCATGTTAACTACCCGCATCTATTAATCAGTTTGAAAGAAATTATCCTTTGACAATATCATTCCTCAGAAGTCTAAATTCAAAAGCCTTTGAGGAGTATAACTTTTCATTTTATTATATAGATAATTTTTTAATGAGCAACATGTGTATGTTCAGAGTTTTCCAGGGTTTATTCTCATTAAGGCTCTGATGGGCCACCTCACCTGGGTGGTTTATTTCTCTGTCCCCAAGTGACTGATGCCATAAGGCTGAAATATCAACATCCCATTTAATGATTATATTTATAAATCTGTTTTTTTAAATGCAGGAGATAAGTAAGTGATGGAGATACCTTCCTGTCAGAGAGAGCGTCTTTGTGGCTGTGTTTGTGGTCCTGAGGACTAAACACGGGGCTTCACGCACGCTTGGCAAGTACTGGGTCACTGAGTTACACTCTCTGTCCTTCATGTCCTTGTCATGTCAGTGACTTAGATGGGATTTTAATTGAGTCTGTATACTTTGTATATGAAATATTGTGCAAATCCCATTTTGCTCAGCTGTAACTAGTTTCCTCAGGTTATAACTTCTTAGTTTTATTATGTAGGCAATTTTTAAATGAGTAACATGTGTATGTATATGTAATTACTGTCCCCTTTCCACTGACTAATCCAGAAGAATGGTGCAGACTGTGGTTTTACATTACCCATTTTCTTAGTGGAAGTTAAATCTGAGGGCTTTGTGTTATCAGAACTGGTATCATGACCACAGCCTCAGAGATTTTGACACTCCAAATTTTGCAAACGCTGTGACAAATTCTTCTTTTTGACATAGATGAAGGAAACCATCAGAGCAGACACTTACATCCACAGGGCTGTTGGTGTAGCTAGGATGCCCAGGGAGAGAACTGCAGAGTGGCATGGGCTGGCACATGCAGGGGGAGGAAAGTCAGTGGGCACTGGTGGAAGAGACCACTTAGCCATTGCTGGGGCTCGGTTCTCAGTCACTGGCAGCCCTCAGCATGGCCGCAGCTTCCCCAGATGTCTCAGCACACTTTGTGCTGGCAGCATGAAATTTGTTTACCCCCCTCATTACCTTGAGGAAATAGCCATAGCTGGAGTCTGCCCACTTGTATTGTGAGAACATTAGGTGGATAAGAGGAGACGGCACTGGAGTGACATCTCTGCTGCTTCCTGGAAAGAAGCAGGAAAGGCCTCAACTAGTCCCAGCAGATAAAAAGATTGCTCATGAATTTATGGTCTTCTCAGTTAAAGGTTGGAAAGGAAAACAACAAAATCAAAGCTGATGACATGGATCACACATCCATGCTCTAGGAAAACACACCAATTGTGTGGCTCATTTCAAAATTTCCCGACACACTTTTCATGCTTTTGTTCCCTCCACCACCAGCTCTGATTGCATTTGCAGGGTCGCTGATGACTTTGGAGGGTTTTGCTTCATGTTTATGACTTCCAGTGTTGGAGAAAAATGTTTTTTCGGACATCTGTTCCAAATGTGCTTATCTGTAATTTTAATTCATGCTCACTTATCTTGTCATCTGGCCTGGACTGAAATTAGTTGGGATTATTTGTACTATTTAAGATTTTACTCCCTTCCATTAAATCCTCGCAGAATCTTCTCCTTGGTACCTGGAAGGCCTCTTCTCTGTGAGTACAAGTTATTTTAGCAGACATGCATATTAACATCCTGAGTTGGTGGAACAAATTTGCAAAGTCTTAGAATCAGAAAAGAGACTGCAGTGCTAGAGGAATGAAAAGAAAGTCTGATGTGGTGTGATGGGGTGCTGTCTGTGGCTTCAAGCTGAAGTTGAGAATTTTGTATTTGAAATAAAATGGGAAGCTCATGAAAGATTTTTTGAAAATGTGACATAGTTCAGTCTACGTTTTAAAGCATTCTTTTTCTGTGAAAAATGGATTACAGACAGCCAAGAGGGGAACAGAAAAGCAAATGGGGATGCTCAATAGATAGAAGTGTGTGGAGCAGAGTGAGTATTCTTATTATGCTGTGGAAAGAAAAAAATCAAGAGGTCTGTTTGAAACTAGGGGCTGAGTATGTGGCTTGGATTTGATTCAGATATGACACGTACTACACACACAGACACACAGACATAGACACACACAGTCATGTGTGCATGCACATGAACAAACTGAGGAACAAGGACAAA